CGAGATCGCGCCATTGCACTTCAGCCTGGGTAACAAGAGCGAAACTCCATCTCAAAAAAAAAAAGAATTCAAATTTCTGGGATGTAGGTTAAACAATGTTCAACTTTCTAAGAGGCTGGGCATGGTGGCTCACGCCTGTAATCCCAGCACTTTGGGAGGCCAAGGCGGATGGAACTCTTGAGGTCAGGAGTTCGAGATCAGCCTGGCCAACATGGTGAAACCTCAACTCTACTAAAAATACAAAAATTAGCTAGGCATGGTGGTGGGCACCTGTAATCCCAGCTACTTGGGCATGACAATTGCTTGAACCCAGGAGGCAGAGGCTGCAATGAGCTGAGATAGTGCCACTGCACTCCAGCCTGGACAACAGAGTGAGACCGTGTCCAAAAAAAAAAAAAAAACTTCATAAGAAACTACCAAGCTGTTTTCCTAAGTGGCTGTAGTTTTTTTGCATTTCTACCAGCAATGTGTGAGAGCTTCATTGCTCTACATCCTTGCCAACACTCGGTATTTTCGTGGTTTGTAAGATCTAGCCATTCTGGAGGTGTGAGGCACATATCTCCGCCTCATCTATTCCTTACAGTAACTCTTTGGAGACGGAAATTATTTGTAGTAGATTAAGGATGGCCACAAACTCCTTAATTCCTTCCATGAAGGGGTAAAATCTGTATTCTCCCCTTGATTCTGGCTGGGCTGTGTCACTGCTTTGACCGATAAACTACAATAGCAGTGACACTGTGTTAATTTCCATACTCAGGCCTCAAGACATGTGGCAGCTTCCCCTCCAGCCCATTGGATCGCTTGCTCTGGGGAGGCCAGATAGCCATGCTATGAGGAAGCCCACGCCAGCTACGTGGAGAGCATGCACAGGGGCAAGTTATGCCAACCAGCCCCAGCCACCCCAGCCCAGGTACCAGACAAGTGATGAAGGAGCCAGCTTCGACTCCAATGAGCTGAGTCCTCTGTGACCTGCTCTAGCCTGCAAAATAAATGGGTGGTTGTTTTACATCACTAAATTTTCGGGTAGTGTGACACAGCAGTAGAAAATCAGAACCATTATCTTCATTTTACAGAGGAAAAAATAAGAGAGGTAACGTGACGCGCCCATGGCCCCACAGTGGGAGAAATCAGAACATGAAGTGCCAACAAATGTCCAAAAGAGGTCCCAGAACAGTGGGTGAATTTCAGTGACAGAGACTGGTCAGGTCAGGCTAGTGGAAGAACTAATAAGAGACAGAAAGCTGGACTTTCATTTCTAATGGCCCAATTTTATCAGAAAGGAAGTGGCTTCTCTCAACTGCACAGCCCAGGGCCTGGCTTCTTTTGGACCTGTAAATTGATCAAACCGTGTTTCTGAAGGCTGAGGCAGGGACCTAGGGGAACAGTGGCCCATGGTGTGACACCACCTGCCCCTAGAGGATCCTATTCATCCCTAGTGTAGACTTCAAAGCAGCCCTTAAAGAGAAAAAGAGGCCCCAAGCTAGGGCTGATCACCAGACATCTCTCTCTGCACTCATGTAGCTCCATAGCATGCAGTAGACACAACAGGTAAACCAAGTGTGAACCTCTAGGAGCTGAGAGGGTTTCTAGAATATAAATGGCATCAGCACAGAATGCCCTTGCAAGGGCTGCGAAATCAAACACCCCCAGGGTTCCCAAAAGCATCACATATATGCAGAGCTGCCTGGGCACATTCTATCAACACAGACACATGCGAAGAGCCTTCGCTTCCAAAAGGATGCATGTTCTCTTCCATTTCTTGAACATGGGATCATCTTGGTCTGGCTTTATTTTCCCACTTTCAGTAGGGTCAAAAGGACAGAGAAACAAGGCCGAGCGTGGGGGCTCACGCCTATAATCTCAGCACTTTGGGAGGCCAAGGTGGACAGATCACAGGGTCAGGAGTTCGTGACCAGCCTGACCAACATGGTGAAACACCATCTCTACTAAAAATACAAAAAAATTAGGTGGGTGTGGTGGCACGTGCCTGTAAGCTACACAGGAGGCTGAGGCAGGAGAATCGCTTGAACACGGGTGGCAGCAGTTGCAGTGAGCTGAGATCATGCCACTGCACTCCAGCCTAGGAGACAGAGTGAGACTCCATGCCAAAAAAAAAAACAACAGAGAAACATCATCTATCAGAAACACACAAGCATATGGTGGCTGTGGAGTCAGGGAGGGTCCCAGGAGCAGCCAGCACTGTAACACACTGGAAAGCACACTCGCTGCCCACAGCAGGCAGTCGCTTGCTTGCCATGTGATGTGATGGCCAATGCTTGGCTAGGAAGGAACGAGCACCCCAGGAGGGCCAGATCTTTGCTTTTCTGAGAGAAGCTAGACCTCTAGAGTTTTCACATGAAATTCTAAAAATATCACAAGCTAATGCTCATTTTTTCCTCCCAGAAACATCAAATTATCTGCAGGCAGGATTAGACCTGTGGGTCATCTGTGTGTGGCCTCAGGATGAAATCTTTCCAAGACGCATCTCCAGGCTTCAAGTTAGGAGGATCTGCCTGATGCTGCCTGCCATCCTGGGTCTCCTGGCAACAGAGACACACACGTCCCACCACAGGAAGCTGCGACAGTTTTTCAGGGCTGGCCCACGTGGGTCTCTCTGGAGACCTGTCCATGCGGACTCCTGCCTCCAGCCCTCGTCAGGCTGCCACTGGGTCTCCTTTCACAGAATGCCCACATGGATGGTAGACTGGGATCTGAGAACAAAGGTGTCCCTGGAGCATCCATCCATACCATCCTCCCAACCTGCCTTCCCTGCCTACAGCCACGATGCTCCATGCGGTACTTACCAAACCACATCCCTGGCCTCCCCGCCTTTGCACAGGCTGGTCCCTCAGCCAAAATACCATCCTTCCCTATCTGTTGAATTCTCTGTTGCTCCTTCCAGCCCCAGATTCATCACCACCTGTTCTGCGAAGCCTTTCCAATTTCCTAGGCAGGACTTAACACCCCTGGCTCCGAAATCCCTTCACACCTTGACCTCACTTTCGCAACAGCACTGTAGCATGGGATGGCAGCAACTGGTACCCAAATTAGTCTCCCCACATAGACTGGGGCTTGGTGGGGATGGAGATGGACTGAAATCTCTTTGCAAACTCAAGCTCATCACGGGGCCCATTCATGAGAAAGTGCCCAATGCGGCCGGGCACGGTAGCTCATGCCTGTAATCCCAGCATTTTGGGAGGCTGAGGTGGGAGGATCGCTTGAGACCAGGAGTTCGAGATCAGCCTGGCCAACATGATGAAACCCCATCTCTACTAAAAAAAAAAAAAAAATTAGCCAGGTGTGGTGGCGCCTGCTTGTAATCCCAGCTACTTGGGGGGCTGAGGCAGGAGAATCACTTGAACCTGGAAGATGGAGCTACTTACAGGGCTGAGGCAGGAGGATCACTTGAACACTCCAGCCTGGGAACAAAGCAAGACTCTGTCGAAAGAAAGAAAGAAAGAAAAAGAAAAGCAGGGAAAGAAAGGAAAGAACTCGATGTTTGGTGGTAAAGAAAGGACAATCCAGGCTGTTAAAAGCCTGTCTTGTTACCCAGCTCCCACCTGGACCCACATCTGAACTTAAAAATTGACTCAAGAGAAGAAACCACATAGGTTTTCTTGAGACCACTGCTATGACCCCAGAGGCTGGGCCAAGGTCCACTGAATATGTAGGGATAACTCGGTGCCTGCTCTCTTGGGTGGCTTTGAATAGTGCCAGGCACAAAGGAAGGTGATCAATGAATGTCTGGGGCCGTGGTTACTATTACTCCCTTGGGTTCTCACAAATGCTCTCAGGGTCCAGACACCGTGCTTCTCAGGGACATAATGGATGCCACTGGGCCCAGGCGGGCAGGCTTCCTCCACTCTGGGGAGACTCAGGGCCTGATCACAATATGGAGCTCTACTCTTTGGGCCTGCAGGCAGACGCCTCAAGCCCAGGTTGCTGGCTTGCCTCTAATAAGTTTGGGAACTTCTAGAAAATTCAATCAGTGCTCATGAGGGCTCCACACTTGGCTGGCAACAATCCTGGGGGGGTACTGGGATCTAGAAGCAATTTTTTTCTTTCTTTTCTTTTTTTTTTTTTTTTTTTTTTTGAGACATAGTCTCGCTCTATCACCCTGGAGTGCAGTGGTGTGATCTTGGCTCACTGCAACCTCTGCCTTCCGGGTTCATGCAATTCTCCTGCCTCAGTCTCCTCAGTAGCTGGGACTACAGGCACCCGTCATCACACCTCGCTAATTTTTGTATTGCTGGTAAAGATGGGGTTTCACCATGTTGGTCAGGCTGGTCTTGAACTCCTGACCTCAGGTGATCTGCCCTCCTCAGACTCCCAAAGTGCTGGGAATACAGGTGTGAGCTGCCACGCCCACCTCTAGAGGTGATCTCTAGAGACTCTGGCATGGGAGGCCTTGTCTTCTGGGCCATTGTCTTCTATCTTCCTCCCCAGTCAGAAGAGGAGATTTGGGCCAAGCAGACAGAGAAGGAGGGAAAAGCAGAGACAGAGGAAGGATTCAGGAGGGAACTCAATGCCCAACCCCATGATGGTCTGTGGCCTGAGCAAGTGCCTCCTCCTAGGCCTCGCAGGCCTGAAGCCATTTCCTGCCTGTCTCCATGTTTGCACAGCGGACGGCGCAGAGCTGAGGAAAGTTAAATATAGTCTAGCGTCCCCGCTGAACGGCTCCCTGCATCGGTGCCCAAGAGTGCCACCTTGTGGTCCACTCCTGGCTCCTCTGCGGAATAAAAACCATCTCGGGGGAAGGACGAGATCAAGATGGCTGCTTTAGGAAGCACTTGGGGTTGAGTGAGAGAGAGAGAGAGAGAGAGAGAAGAGAGAGGGAGGAGGGAGTGTGTGCACGTGGCTTTCCTCTCACTGCTGGCCACTGCCCCATTCCTTCTGGTTGCTAACTCACCACCAAAATGGCTTCCCCAGAAAACTCCAGCAAGGGCCTGAAGCCTGGCCTGGGCCTCCATCCACCCTTCTCAGGCCAGGCAGCCACTCACCAGGTGGGTCAGGCTGCAGAACTCCTCCAGCCTGAGCAGCATGCCCTCGATGGTCTCCTCCACCTCCTTCGCCTGAAAAAGAGACGATATCCTGGAGATTAGTAAGTGGTTTCCAGGGAGACAAACACCCTTCATTTTTTTTTAAAGCAAACTAAGTCTTAGGATTATGTGCCCAGCTCCTGTTCGACCCCCTTCCACTGCCTCATTTGAAAGAGCAACAAACGGGCAGCAGTCCTGGCGCCCATCATGGAGGACTAGTTAAAGCCACCATGGCCTCTCCACTCTCCGCAGCTTCCAAAAGGGACAAGATCAACAAATACGGGAAATAGCAAAGCTACCCTTGTCCAGATGAGGACATGGAGGCTCAGAGAGGTGGGGCAACCTGCTCAAGGTCACACAGTTAACAAAGGCAGGGCCAGGATCCTAATCCAGATGCAGTCCACAGCCTCACAGCCTGTTCTGATAAACACAGTGTCCCCGGTGACACCCTGGAGAGGAAAAGCAAGCTGCAGACACTGTCGGATACAAATCATGCCAAAAAATGTCCTAGGCAGGCGATCAGCTGAGGTCAGGAGTTCAAAACCAGCCTGGCCAACATGGCAAAACCCTGTCTGTACTAAAAATACAAAAATTAGCCGGGCATGGTGGCATGTGCCCATAGTCACAGCTGCTCCAAGGCTGACGCAGGAGAACTGCTTAAACCTGGGAGGTGGAGGCTGCAGTGAGCCGAGATCGTGCCACTGCACTCCAGCCTGGGAGACAGAGGAAGACTCCATCTCAAAAAAAAAAAAATTCCAGTTTCAGTTTTCTGCAATTAAAAAAAAATGTACATGGCTCCACAGGGAAAGGCCTAGAATGATATGTGCCAAACTGCTAATAGTTAAGGGATGTGCTTATACTAAAAAAAATTATTTGTTGTTTATCTGAAATTCAAATCCAACCAGGTATCCTATAGTTTCTTTGGAAACCCTATTAATAGGGTTGGCTTAGCCCTGGGGAGTAGGAATTGGGGAAGAGAGTCAGACAAGGGAAACTTGAATTGTTTATGTTATGTAAAGGTTCCATGGCCAGGCACAGTGGCTTATGCCTATAATCCCAACATTTTGGGAGGCCAAGCAGAAGGATCACTTGAGACCAGGAATTCGAGACCAGTCTGGGCAACATGGGGAGACTCCATCCCTTTAACAACAAAAAAAAATTAGGCTGCGCTCAGTGGCTCACACCTGTAATCCCAGCACTTTGGGAGGCTGAGGCAGGTGGATCATAAGGTCAGGAGTTCGAGACCAGCCTGGCCAATATGGTGAAACCCTGTCTCTACTAAAAGTACAAAAATTAGCTGGGCATGGTGGCAGGTGCCTGTAGTCCTACCTACTTGGGAGGCTGAGGCAGGAGAATTGCTTGAACCCGGGAGGCAGAGGCTGCAGTGAGTGAAGATGACAAGTGACAGAGGGAGACTCAGAAAAAAAAAAAAAATTAGCCAGGCTTGGTGGTGTGCGTCTGTAGTCCAGCTACTCATGAGGCTGAGGCTGCAGTGAGCTGTGATCACACCACTGGGCTGGGTACACTCTAGGCTGGGTGACAGAGTGAGAACTTGTCTTAAAAAAAAAGAGAAGAAGAAAAATAATAAACCCAGTTATCAGGCTGGACAAGAACACAGAGTGAAGCCATCGGGCTTATGGTGGTCTGAGAGACACCCATCCAGCCCTCAGCTGCTGGCCACCAGCCGCCATCAGGAAACGCAGGCCCGGGGCTGCCAGATCTTTCCATCTTCCAAGAGAAGTCAGAAATTCTAATTTAATAGGCAATGCCCCAATGTTTAAACATTGGAACACATTTTTAAAAAAACAAAACCTTTAATGCTTCACAAATGAAGCCAATCACGAATGTGCAAAGGGCCTGCCAGTATACAACTGCTTCACGCACCCGTGTAAAAATTAGGGGCTTGGCCAGGTGCAGTGGCTCACGCTTGGAATCTCAGCACTTTGGGAGGTCGAGGCAGGTAGATCACCTGAGCTCAGGAGTTTGAGACCAGCCTGACCAACACGGCAAAACCCCGTCTCTACTGAAAATACAAACATTAGCCGGACATGGTGGCACGCATCTGTAGTCTCAGCTACTCAGGAGGCTGAGGCAGGAGGACTGCTTGAACCCGGAAGGTGGAGGTTGTGGTGAGCAGAGATCAAGCCACCACACTCCAGCCTGGGAGACAGAGCAAGACTCCATCTCAAAAAAAAAAAAAAAAAAAAGATCTTTCTTTTCCCTCAAGTATGTTCACTTTTATGACTTCTAAAATACCAGTTTCTGTTGTTATTTTTGTAATGCCCAGGCGTTCAGGAAGAAAGTTCACCAGCACGTGATCCGCTTTCCCTGCCTACCAGGCCACACCGTCCTTTGCCAGGGAGGCATGCTTAGGATTTCTGGGCAGGCCTAGTCCCCGCCCTCTGCACCTGAAGGCTCCCTTGCAACCCACTTGTCCCCAGAGAACTGTTTATACACCACCAGTTCCTGCTGCCTCCAGCATGAGCCATCTCCACCACAACAAAATAAACGACTGCGCAAAAAAACATCTTTCAGACTGGAGTATAAATAGTACCAAGTTGCAATTTTAAACCCTGCAACCTTCATCTCACAGCTGGGACTATTTCTGTGCCTCAGTGAGGGAGACGGGCGGGAAGACTGGGAAAAAGAAAGATCATCCCCCCACCCGAGTTAAATTACAACGAGAAAATATCATTATCACCCCAAGGGAGAAAGGATGAAGCCAAGAGGTCACAGTGTTAGGAGAGGGGGAAGGTTGGTTGTTCTTTCTGACTCAGGGGAAAGAGAAAGAGAGGAAAGGAGCGGGGTGCAGCGGGTGACAGAGAGATCCTGGGAGCGCAGGTGCACACAACACAGACCTGGGTCCAGATACGCTTAGGAACGCACAAAGTGCGTGGGAAGCCATGGAAGCCCATGCCCCAGCTGGGTGGGATGCCTCCTTCCCGAGATGTCTTTGCAGCGCTGTGCTTACGGGAAGCGCATCGCAACCCATCCTGGCCCACTCAGGAAGAGCATGGCGTGGTCATGGCACTGCTGGGTTGACCTTCCCCTCTGCCAGCTGTGCAGCTGGAACCCGATGGCTTCACCTCTGCATTTCACTGCTGCTGGCTCTCCTGTGACAGGAACCATCATGCCCTTTTGGAAGAGTGGTCAGGAGGTTAACCTGACATCCTAAATGTGGCTAACTCATTTAACGGATGCTGACACATAGCAGGTGCATGATGAGGGGCTGCTTTCCATAGCTAGCTCTTTTTTGTATTTTAATTTTTGTAGAGACAGGGGTCTCACTATGTTGCCCAGGCTGGTCTCGAACTCCTGGCCTCATGCAATCCTCCTGCCTCAGCCTCCCAAAGTACTGAGATTATAAACATGAGTCACTGCACCCACCCAATCTCTCTTACCATAGAATAAAAACAAGGGCTAACCACTGTATCTGAATTACCTCATTTACTTCTCACAAGAGCCCTATGCAGTAGGTAGTACTATTTTCCTCCTTTTATGGATTGAGAAATAGAGGATCAGAGAGGTTAAGTCCCTTATTCAAGGTCACACCGCTAATAAATATCAAAGCCAGAATTTGACCCTGAGCACTCTAACTGCAGAGCTAGAATGTATAACCAGATGTTTACTGGGGCCAGGTACAGTGGCTCATGCCTATAATCCTAACACTGGGAGGCTAAGGCTGGAGGATCGTGTGAGCCCAGGAGTTACAGTCCAGCTTTGGCAACAGGGGGAGAGTTTGTCTCTAAAATTAAAATTTAAAAAAAAATCTACCTGGGCATAATGGTGCATGCCTGTGTGGTCTCAGCTACTTGAGAGGCTGAGGCAGGAGGGTCACTTGGGCCCAGGAGGTCGAGGCTACAGTGAGTTGTGATGTGCCACTGCACTCCTGGGTGACAGAACAAGACTGTCTCAAAACAAAGACAAGATGTCTTTGGGGAGGTTAGAAATGCATTCCCTCAGCCAGGAACGGTGGCTCACGCCTGTAATCCCAGCACTTTGGGAGGCTGAGGTGGGTGGATCATGGGGTCAGGAGAACGAAACCATCCTGGCTAACACAGTGAAACCCCGTCTCTACTAAAAATACAAAAAATTAGCTGGGTGTGGCAGGGCAGGCGCCTGTAATCGCAGCTACTCGGGAGGCTGAGGCAGGAGAATCACTTGAACCTGTGGGGCAGAGGTTGCAGTGAGCCGAGATCGCACCACTGTACTCCAGCCTGGGTGATAGAGCAAGACTTCTCTCAGAAAAAAGCAAAGAAAAAGGAATGTGTTCCCTTCATTGCTGCTAGTCAGCTATGGTCAGTCCCCACCTCACCCCCTGGTACCTAATGAGGTTCCCAAAAGCAGGAGGGAACGTAGAGAGCGTTTGCTGACTGTCCTGTAATTGTCCCAACTTACAGGAAAGCACTCAGGATAAGCCAGCCCGCCATGCCCACAAATCACTCATGGGACAATTTTCTCACAGGATAATCCCCTAAGTGGCCTCAGAAATGAGAGTCCCCAAGCTATAGCCCACGTGCCTTTGTAACAGCCTGTGAGCAAATGGATGCCCTTGCTGTTCTCCGCAGCTCCCTGGGCAGAAAAGGCTTCACTCAGAGGGGAGGAGGTGAGAGGCTAACTGTAAGTGACATTCAGAAACGGCCGGTGGAGACGGTGAGTGGGGTTGCTTTATTTTAACACCTGCAAATCATGGTTTTCACTTTCCTTTCCCACATCCCCCCTTCTCACAATGGCAGCACTAGCTTCCCAGCTGGGAATGCCCAGAAAACGGAGAGGGGCTGGCCCTGCTCACCAAGAGACTGGCACAAAAAAATGCAAAAAGATCCTCCACCCATGATCCTCTCTAACTCCGCAAATGGAAATTCCATCGCCCCCTTGCTCAGGCCAAATACTTCCAAGCACCCTGGACTCTTCTCTCCCATCTCCCACCCCATCCAATCTGCCAGCAAATCTTCTCAGTTCTACCTTCAAAATGTCTCTACCCAAATCCAGCTGCTTCACTCTCTCTCCCATACAGCCAACCGCCCTGGCAC